CTGAACTGCAGATAACAATCAGCTGAAGTGGCCTGCAGTACTGCACCCTAACCACTGCGCCACCTCGGCTCTCAACTAAGCACAATAACTGAGCTGTCAACCATTTTTCTTTAATCTTTAGAGATTTTCTCCTGGTCAACATAGAACCCTCCCAAAAGAATTAAAATTGAAGACCATAGGGGTGGGCTACTCTCTCTCCAGACATGGAATTCCATCAGCTATGCAGAATCCATACTCCCAATTTTGAATTAAAGACTTTCTCAACTAAGCACAATCTTACCTTCTCTACTTCTTGTGAACATTTCTCCACTCGGTCTTGGAGTTTACGCAGCTGCTCTTGGGATGTGGAAGCATCTGCTTTGGCATGATTCTCTCGTGTCTGCGCAGTTTTCTCTTCTTTTCGAGCAACGTGGTAATTCTTTTTTGAAGTTTCCACCTTCCCACAGATACATTAAATATTACATAAAGCATTTCTGCAGAGTTGCTTTCAGGACACAGTGACATATAGGTAGCATTATTCAACAAGTGGCAGAAAACATTAATTGCCATTTATAATCCACCCCCCCCCTCCCGGGGCCAAAAACATATGTATCCATTTGGCCAATTTCAAAATCAGATTACCTTTTAGCAATGCCCCAGTAGGAATGTACCCAGTGGTTTGCATCAAACACCTGTCCTGTCAAATTTAGGCAGAATTATGTGATGTTCTTTTTAAAAGGACAAGGGACTTTGTGTTATTTTTCATGGGGCACTTTTCCCTAATCTGTGCATTTTATATGCTGCTTCCCACCAAATATTGCACTGACGTCTGCTACTCCTTAACTGAATTAGGTCCAGCAATGTGTGGCTAAACATTTACAGTGGACTGAATCAACAATTTATCTTTTTCAGGATTCTAAGGAAATCTCCTGATTTTCTCTCCACCTATCTTCAGATTGCACTTCCAATTCACCTCTTTCAACTTTTTCACCCAGGGCTTCTGGGCTTTGCGAAATCCATCCTCAACTTCCTTTGTCTCTCTAAAGCCACCAATCAACTGCTTGTGATAGACTTCCTTCTGCCAAGCCTTGATCTTCTCTGAGTCTTCACCAGCTAGACGATTCCGTACTTCTAGATGGATCTCGCTAAGTTTGTCTGCAGCAGTCAGAAATGCATGCCAGGCTTTTTCCAGAGTGCCATATTGAGGTCCTAGGAATCAAGAAAGACCGTGTAATAGTATAAGATAAATGTAAAGGTTCCCCTCATACACATGTGCTAGTTGTTCCCGACTTTAGGGGGTGTGCCTTTGACTAAATGCCAAAGGCACAGGGAATACTGTTACCTTCCCACCAAAGGTGGTCAATATTTTTCTACTTGCATTTTAACAGGAGCTTACTCCGTTATGCAGTGCTAGGGATTCGAACCACTGAACTGCCTACCTTTCTAATTGACAAGCTCAGAGTCTTAGCCACTGAGCCACCGTATCCCTTGGTAACAGTATAAGGATACCAAATATAAAAGAACTAAATTCTGAAGCCAAACTTCATCCGTTATCAAAATATTTAACCCGCCAATGTTTAAAGCAAATTATGGAATGAAAGTTGCATGGATGTGTATGGATGTATATATACAGTAATCCAGC